ATATATATATATATATATATATATACGTTTTTCATTTTCCGCGGGGAACAAACATTAATTCTTGAACTTACGTTAAGATGTGGTGGCAACGTTTTGGAAGGACTAGCATAAGCTAGGAAAGCATTTTGGATTGGACTTTCCTGGTTGCTGTCATAGATCCGGTGACGCTGTGTCAACCTGTCAACGCTGGCAAACCGATATCCCATCCCACCGGGTGAAGATATGGTGGACGCCGTGTGGTGGGAGGGGGAGAGGACCTGCGGCTTCACCGGATTTGGGGACAGAGGTTTGATGACAGCCGGCCTGTCGGGAACGTTTTCCCCCAAGCTGCGGAAGGTCCTCGGTGGCGGGGCGGGTTTCGCCATGGGCGACACAGCAGAGGCTGGAAACATATATATATAGTACAGTGACGTCTGGAGACTGAAGAACTCCGGTAGCCTGTTCCGCACAATCGCCAAACGATCTACTAATAAAATTACACCTATCTGTCTATGCGCGTCAGAATTTTCCGCAAACGTAGACCTACCACATCGTCGCTATGACAATCGCATTTCAAATCCCACGCTGCGGAACTGACGCAAATCTTTCTCTCCCGTCTACTAGAAGGACCTCTAGCGGAGAACCTTGTCGGAGCGCTTACGTAAAACACTGCCAGTAATCAACTGCTTTAAACTTTGCTGCCATGTGCCAATTAAAGTAAAAAACACGACCCGAGAAGAAACTTTAAAAAACTTGACAACTGTCAGGATCTCTCGGAAGTTTGTAGGTCAATGCTGAGTGTCAGTTCCTCGTATAGAATAAAGAACTTATTAAGAACTTATAAGGAAGGTGGAGAACAATGTAATAATATGTCAACCATTTTATGTTTGCTATATCCAGTGTTTTCGGTCAATACCAGGGTTAATCAGGCTGGCTGACAAACGGCAACTATCGAGTAAATGTAAACAAAATATTAGTTACAGGTGGGTGTTGGCTAGCTTATAGGTCAGTTCTCATTTCTCCAATACAATACTATCAGTTCTGGCATTTCTCCAATACTGTCAGTTCTGGCATTTCTTCAATACAATACTGTCAGTTCTGGCATTTCTCCAATACAATACTATCAGTTCTGGCATTTCTTCAATACAATACTGTCAGTTCTAGCCCTTTCTTCAACATAACACTGTCAGTTCTAGCATTTCTCCAATACAATACTGTCAGTTCTGGCATTTCTCCAATACAATACTGTCAGTTCTAGCCTTTCTTCAACATAACACTGTCAGTTCTGGCATTTCTCCAATACAATGAACTGACAGTATTGTATTGAAGAAATGCCAGAACTGACAGTTGGCATTTCTTCAATACAATACTGTCAGTTCTGGCATTTCTTCAACATAACACTGTCAGTTCTAGCATGCTTGTCTCCTCCAATCAGTTGTTCCTTTTAGACAGAGTATACAAATCTGAAGTATCGACTCAAATCAAAATAACACGTTAAGCTAATTAAAAACAGTAATAATAAAACCATTCTCCTTCTATATTGGAGATCAAACGTGTCCTCCTTCAGAGAAAATTGTTTGAAATTATTCAGACAAAAAACAACTTTAATTAGGTACATGTATCTGACGCAGGTGTTACCCTGTGAAAAAAAATATAACAGGTTGTTAACTAAGACAAAACTATAAATCAGGAAAGCTTGATGTAATTAGATTGCCAATCAGGAAAACTTCTGATAAAATGATAACCATAACGTTATGATTAGTACAGCTGCCACCTAGGTTTTTAAAGAGATAACACTTTTATATATTTTATATACATTATTTCCAACAGAATTATCCTACTTTGGGGGGGGGGGGGGATTACGTAATTAATCTGAGAATACAGAGATATTTGTTTGTTTGTTTTGAATTTCGCGCAAAGCTACACGAGGTGTTATCTGTTAGCAGTGTAAGACTAGGGGGAAGGCAACTAGTAATCACCACCCACCGCCAACTCTTGGGCTACTCATTTACCAATCACATTATAACGCCCCTACTACTGAAAAAGCGAGCATGGTTGGTGGGATGGGGATTCGAACCCGCGACCTGTAGATTGAGAGTCGAGTGCCCCTAACCACCTGGCCATGCCGGGCCTCCAATACAAAGATGTAATGTTAATAAATGTGCGATGCTCTGGCGAACACGGAATTTAAATCGTAGTTTTATTAACATAGTCAACATTCTCGGAAACACTTAACAAGCAATTTACCGTGCATCAATAAGGTTTGTCTGGTAAACTACACAATAATTTAAAATTTTATAGCCAGTAAACTTCTGCGAAAAAACAAAAAACAAACAAACTAGAAATCACTCTTTCCGCTTTGGCCGAATTTTCTCATTGTTATTGACGTTTCGCGTGACAACACGCGTGAAGTAAATCGTCTGCCTTAAAAGTTACAAGGCTTAGCGAGTAATTTGTTGAAGTTGTCAATGTAGCGTTTATTCGACTCACGTGACCAATTTTATCACACGAATTATATAAATGAATATTAATGTGCAATCAAAGTTCCGTTCCGCAGACTTTTCTAAACGTACGGTTGTTGTTTTAAATACGGGTACAAGGCAAGTGTGAAATGACTTCGGTACCTTAACCTTAAGATCATCGACCAGTGTTTATACCACTCGTCATGTCGAAGATCGTATCTATATAAATATAATAGCACTGTCTGTTGTATGTCCGTTTAACTACTTCGCAGGGTGTGGATGGATCTCAACCAATATTGGTACGGTGGTTCATTATCCATGCGGTGATACAAACAAATTTTCAGTTTTGCATTTTGCGTTTTTTTTTTTTATTCACTACTTCGCCCCCTATAAATGGATCTTCACCAAATTTGGCATGAAGGTTTGTTGGGTCTATGAGGAGATACAAGCAAGTTTGTTGTTTCACATTTTGTGTTTTCCTGTTTTTATGCGCGTTTTTTTTTTTTTATATAAGGGAAGCAACTTTTCATGTCCTAAAATAACCTTTCATTAATCACAAACTTACAAAACTTCCGTCCAGGGGGCGGGTACTCCAGCTAGTGTTGAATAATTGTTTGTTTTGTGACTCATTATAAAGAACAAGTTGAATCCTTCGTTTTCGATGTAAAATGTAAGGGACCGTTAGAGTAATTATTTTTTATTTACGTTTTATTGTGTAACTCTGCAACCAAAAAGGTCATGTTTAATAAAACGTTTCACAGCTCATCGATAATTTTAGGGTTCACAGACGATAGTGTAGGTGCAGCTGTTAAAGTAACCTTACAGATCTTAGCTCCGACAAAATGGCTCAAATGACTTTTAGCTTCAACTCTGCATTCGTTTTATCACCAACTTTTAATTAAACAGCTAAGAATTACAACTAGCGATTCGTATTCTTCCAAAATATTTCTAGGGTTTGAACTACTTGAATTAAGGGGCACGGTGTTTGTACACCGTTATTATTAAGATATTAATAACATGTTATTAAAATAACCAATATATGTACGAGGAACTCGTGGTTATACTATAAATGCCATCCAAGACACGTGCTAAACGGTCAGACATGTTATTAAGATAACCAGTATATGTACGAGGAACTCGTGGTTATACCATAAATGCCATCAAGACACGTGCTAAACCCAGTGATTAGCTTCCGGTCATTGGTGTACGTGTTAAGACACCGGGTTGAAAACTGCCAGTCACTGCAACAGAAGATAGTAATATATTTTAAATACATCCCAACATTTAAATGTATTAGAAGAAAGGCTGAACAGATAAAATAGTCAGTTATAACAATAAACATTACTGTAGCAGCGTTACGAAATGTTACTGTTGGAGCCCGTGTGAATATCAAGTGATTCAACACGAAACTTTAACTACTGAAAACATCCTTGGTCTACTTAACGTTTTCAGATTTACAATTTTCATGAAAGATAAATAACTATTAAAAGTTTATTTCTAAAACTAAACAGTTAAACAACACGCATGGCCAGGTGGTTAAGGGTTCGAATCCCCGTCCCACCAAACATGCTCGCCATTTCAAGCGTGAGGACGTTATTATGTGATGGTCAAAACCACTATTCGTTGGTAAAAGAGTAGCCCAAGAATTGGCGGTGGGTGGCGATGACTAGCTGCCTTCCCTCTAGTGTAGCTTTGCGCGAAATTCAAAACAAACAGATAAACAACACAAGTTTGCAGTTTATCAGTCAAATTATCATTTAATATTTTACGATGAAAACCATTGAAAAGATATACAAAAAAAAACGCTTTAGTAGGATTTCAGAGATCACGGGCTAAACATTTTTACAAATTTGGCCTTTTTATGTTTTATTTTTAATTGACTATTTTTTAAGAATAATTTTGACCGATTGTCCTGCCATCTGTTGAACACAACTCATAGCTATAACTGCAGGCTGCCAGCCTTTATTAAAATATAGGCTAAATTTGACAAAATAAAACACACTGAAATAGAAGCTATTTTTAGCTAATTCTCATCTGCGGTGATCCGTATAATAATAATTAAATCCTATAAAACCATATATATTGGTATATATATATAGTTGTTTTTGCACGTTTTACCTGAAAACTGAGAACAATCTTTTTTACCTAGAGAATATTGTTTATAAAACTTCTCCATTTTGTGAGCACAGAATGTCGCATTTTAAAGGAAAGGCAAAAAATTATATTTCTGTGAATATACGTTTTTTTTACAGATTGAAACATTACAAAATGAACTGTTATGATTTGTTTGTTATGAATTTCGCGCAAAGCTACACGAGGACTATCTGCGCTAGCCGTCCCTAATTTAGCAGTGTAAGACTAGAGGGAAGACACCGCCAATTCTTTTACCAACGAACATTATAACGCCCCCACGGCTGAAAGGGCGAGCATGTTTGATAGGATGGGGAATCGAACCCGCGACCCGCAGATTGCGAATCGAGCACCCTAACCACCGGGCCAGAGCTGTTATGAGATTTAACAGGTTCTAACTAATTCTATAAGTTATAAAATTTAAAATTCTGGAAAACAGGTTTTTAGGTTTTAATGGTTTGCTGGAAGGCTTGTAAATGTTAACTATACTAATCTAATCCCTAAAAACTGATAAAATAATTTTTGGGGATTGTTCCTACTATTAACTGTAATTTTTTTTGCGTTTATGTACGTCATCACAAGAAAATTATAAATTTACTAACTTATAATGATTAAGGAATTGTTTTAAAGGTTAAGCTTAAAACAACAATATCCAATAAATTTAAACACATATCCACTATAAAAACATTTCATCACATTCCATATATCTAAATAGATGGCGCTACAATATCATAAACCTTTTCTAATAATATATATTTGAAACGAATTGTGATAACAATTGCAATTTAACATGACGTACTTAATGTGGGATAACCCCTTTACTCGAATTGTAACATCTTTGAAATTATACATTCAAAAATTACAGATAAATGTTATTTCCAATGCGAATTTTAAGTCTTAAAAACGTCGATGTCATAACTT